CATACGTAAAAAATATCCACTTCAGTGTGCCATTTTTTAAATATTCCGGATCGCAGAAATGAACTTGCGTTTTCTCAAGTCTAGGTTTTTAGGCGGATTTTCCAGTTTCATTCGATGTGTTTACCAAGCAAAGCGAGTCAATAATAATACAGTTACGCTTGTGTATGTTCGACATCTCAATTGAGCGTTCTTAGAAAGAGGAATGGGATGAAATTTTAATTGCAGATGCGAACGCGATCAAGGCTGCTGTGAACATGGGTGTTGTCCTAAAGATCAACATTGGTGCATCAATTCTCCTTACCCACTTGCAGGTCCCAGTAAATGAAACTTTTAGGATGGCGGGTGTGTACGTGCTCTTAGCATTCGTTCTCTTGGTATTTGTCGTTGGTACAGTTCTGATGATTGTCTGCTATCAAAGATCGAAAAATAAGCAGCGTAAAGAACAACGACAAGCCATGGAGTACGGTGGATACGCAGGTTCACAGGTTAGAAGTTGCTGATCTTAGAGAGAAAAAGATTTTATCTGCATCCAATATTGTGCTCAATTTGGCGTATATGCGGAGATTAAGGTGATACTTACTATTTTTAGTACATATCTATTATATTTATAACATATATAAGAAAATTCAATTCTTATTGAGTCAACTTGTTTACAGGTTGGCGTACCCGGCGCGTACTCCTCTTATGGCGGGCCCACATACTAATTCCAATATTCTACCGATCCCATCGTCTCCTCAAGTCTTTCCGAACGATGATCCGACGGTTCTCTCTCTCTCTCTCTCTCTCGCAGATATGATGTACATAACGTTTTGCGCTTGTTATAATCTCTTGCTCAATATGAGGAAAATTGTTTTGGTTGCCAGTTATTTGACTACCATCTAATATTATGAACTGCCGATAAATTACGCTTTTACTAAGATTTTTCGACACAAAAATAGGTGTGTACACGTGGTAAACAGCGACTATAGAGAAGTCAGTGAAACGGTTACAGCTGTCATTAAACAATAAGATTTGCAAAAAAAGAGATCACCATTAGGTTCTTTTTGAAGTTTTCGACAGGCCTGGAGGGTGATCCTTTTCAAGATTGCTATGCACCGAGGTTGATTGTACAATATATGCACAGCGTGATATAAAAAGGCAACTGCACAACTCAATCACGTTTTTCGGTGAGTGTTCCAATTCCCTTTTGAAACTCATCCTTGAACTTTTCTAACTCTTTCGGATAACGAGGGATTGTTTAAAAAGCTGACATCGCAATACTCAAATGAACGCTATCGGTTGACTTGACTATATAAACCCAACGCGCACTTTTCCGCAAGGAAGAGCGCCTGAATAGCTGAACTGATGGATTTGTACAAAATTCGATGAGAAAAAACGGTACTGTCTTTCATAGATCGTCAACTTTATCTTTTTCTTTGAAGGTGAATTCGCAGCTGAGACTCACATTACAGTCCTCTCACACAGAAAATTTCTTGGCTGATAATCGTCATCGCTCTAACATATATGGCCCGGTTCTCGCTCCCTATGTAGAAACGCATATTGTTCTTCTTATAACATGAGTTTAAAATTACGCACTCTTCAGAATAAGTGACAAGTTCTCTTAGCACAGCTCATGTTTTTGAACCTTTGACGGAAAGGGATAATTGTGGTTGTGCCAGTGCATGAATTGACCATCAGCATCGTAGTTCTATCAGCAAGAGGAAGTGAGGCAAAAA